TCAACATAAAATTGCTAGTACTAACAAGGCTTTACAGAAAAAAAATACCATAAACACTCTAATATTATATTGGCAGGAAAGTAACTGTCCATTTTTTTATTAGTAAATAACACAAACACAAGAATAATCCAGAATTAGCACTATGCACCGTCGTGATCCACAACATGTTGGCAATGTTCAGGTAACTTGTGGATACCATCTCTCCAAAAGCCAGTTAGTGGCAAGTCAAAGATCCCTCCAGTCCATTTTTTCAGGCATCAATTGTGTTAAAGTCCTTAAGCTCCAGATGACGTCGTATACTTTTGAATAACCAATGATCTGATAGAGCTGAATCAAGTCTTTAACGGGGGTAAAGGAGAACCGTCCAGCCAAAGCGGCTCAGGTACGGCGTGACTTTCGGTGAACATGAGGTTTTTTCATTTTTTCCCTGCAGTCAAGTCAGACCTGAGCAGCTTCAGTGGGACCGTTCTCCCTCACCTACTTATAGTCCCGACTGAGCTCTATCAGATTATTGGATATTCGGAGAGATACAACCTCATCTAGAGAATACGAAAATTTGCACCATTTATGTGAAAAACAGGAAAAAATGAATACTTTGATTCGTAGCTAGCTGGCTTTTGGAGGATGGTACACACAAGTTATCGGAACATTGCCAACATGTCGTGGACCACGACGGTGCATACTGCTAAACTTGGATTAATCCTGCTTTTGTATTATTCACAAATAAAACAAGGGACAGTTACTTTCCTGCCAACCTAATAGAATGGCCCCAAACACTTTGAGCCCAGAATTCTGAAAAAAAAAAGATTTATTTTGTGTTTTGAAATATCGTTTCTAAAAAACCGTCAAAGTTGAAGGGCTCTAACCAAACTTTCATTTCAAAAAACTATGTAAAATTTCAAAGTTTGGAATTATGAATTCCGTAAAAATGTAGGATCCCAAAACAGGTTCTTTATCAACCGAAAAACTAGAGAATTTGAATGAAAAGCAGGAGCAGGAGAATTGAATATTAGGAATTTTCCTCAAAATTAAACTTTTAATCTGGAACCGCTATTTTTTTTCTTGGAAAAAAACGAGATACATGATTTTTCAATAATTTTTATTTTCATAAAAAATTTCTGTTTCAAAATCTCCACACATTTCAATACATTTTTGTCATCTAATTGAGTTGTCACAATTGATATGTATTCCATTTTCAATCCCAAAAAGTATGGTGTGTTTTCCGTTGTTTTTGACGTTGTTTCCAGACGTTCCTATACACCGAAAAAAGCAATGAAATCCAGAAGAAGATGTCAAACATCTCCTTTATTCGTTTGGTTTTTCTGTTTTTTTTTTGTTTGTTCTCACACAAAATCCCAAAATTGCAACATTTCTTTTTTTTCACTTTCGTGTTTTTATTCAAAAAAACATCAAGAAAATTCTTCAAGATAACAAAATTGGAAATTCTGAAACTTCACAATTTCAATTTTTTTAAATTTCAGTTTCACTCTCTTCATTTTTTGATTTCCAGTTTTTAAAAAATTAATGAATTCAATTTTGTATTTGAACATTTCCGAAATTCTCTTATTTTTTAAATTCCAAAAATCGGAATCTTGGTGGGGATTCAAAACAAATTTCATTGACATTTTGAACTGTCCAAATTTAGAGGCATGTTTAGAATTTTTAAACAACCCACAGTTTCAAAGCCTCCATTCCTTTGATTTTTGTGTTATCATTTTGATAACTTGACCCATATTCTAGCCAATTTTCGCAATTTCAGAAAGTTTGAAATTTTTAGAACTTATCTGAAAATCAAAAAAAATTTCAGTTTCACTTATTCCATTTTTTTCAAATTCCAGTTCCATCCAATATTCTCCAAAAAAACCATAAACTCAATTGAAGAACTTTAAAGGGGGACTCCGACCAGAAATTTTTATTGCATTAAAATGTGTTAAAATTTATCTATTTTTCAAATATTATTGCGAAAAAATTCAAAGAAAATACGAAATCCCCGAAAAACGGCGTTGAAAAGGAAGAAAATTCAAAAAAAGGTGCCGCCGGGGGACGAGGATTTTCAGTGAGAAACCTAGGCCACGGCACCTGACAGCCTTTTTTTCAAGTCGCCGACAGTGGTTTTTTACGATTTTTATCTGCCGGACATGAAATTGAAAAAAATCCGGAAAATTTGCCACGTAGGAAAGGCGCCCGCTGCCGTGGCCTAGGTTTCTCACTGAAAATCCTCGTCCCCCGGCGGCACCTTTTTTTGAATGTTCTTCCTTTTCAACGCCGTTTTTCGGGGATTTCGGATTTTTCTTGAATTTTTTCGCAATAATATTCGGAAAATAGATAACTTTTAACACATTTTAATGCAATAAAAATTTTTGGTCGGAGTCCCCCTTTAATTTTAAAGAAATAAAATCTCGAAATTATTAAATAAAATTTCCTAAAATCGGAAATTCTGAAATTCTGAATTTCAATGGATATTCAAAAAATAAGTTTTTTTTGGCGAAATCTAAATTTCAAATTTAGAAAATTACTGTTTCAAAATCCCCATTTTTCTATTTTTGTTTATATTTCAATAATCCGCGAGAAACTTAGATGATGTTGGATCATAAAATCTAAGGATTAAAAGAATTCTATGAAAACTGCAAATAGTTTCAGTTTCACTGATTCCATTTTTTTTTCTCAAAATTTGAATTTTCAGAATTTTTAAAAATAATTTTCAAAAAAAAACTACAAAGCTCAATTGATAATTTAAAAGTCCAGAAATTGTATTTCTTTTGCAAAGTTTGAATTCAATTTTTAAAAATTTCACTGTTTCGAAATTTCCATTTTCTTGATTCTTGCCTATTTCGATAATTTGAAGTACACAATGAATTGAATTTAAAAAATTTGGAAAAATGTCTTTATTTATAAATTTAAACATTCTAAAAGTCTAATTGTAATTTCCAAAATAACCAAAACTCCTAGAGAAATGTTTTCAAGTAATCCCCAAAACCGGCAATTCTGAAATTTCGGTGGGAATTCTTTGTTTTCGCAAATTTAAAATCCAAAAAAATTTCGCTGTTTCAAAATTTCCATTTTTTCGATTATTGTCTATTTCGATAATTTATTGTCTATTTCGATACATACTAAAATTTTTTCCAATGTTTTATCCCGTTCTCCGGGAATTTAGATCAAAAATTGGCTTGAAAAAAGCCAATTTTAAGCTCCAAACAGAATTTTTTTTCAAATTAAAACTTTGGGGTTTATATCAAAATGGAGCTTAGAAGAGCTATTTTTGGACCTTTTTTATCCGAATTCCATTGTTTTAATTTTCAAGTTATTTCTTTTAAAATTTCCTAAAAATTTCATCTCCCAAAAACCGAAAATCCCTTGTCTCTGATCCCTCCTATGTCAATTCCAATCGAATTAGACATCTCTCTCTCTCTCTCTTTTCCCGATTCCATAAATTTCGTATACCCTTTTAGGAGAGGACACCCCTTTTTCCACCATCATCTATGGGCCGCCCCGTTTGCTCCCAAAAAGGTTATTTCTCTGCGTCTCTCGCTCTCTCGCCTCCTTTTCAATTTCCTCTTGGGGGAGTACTCATTAGGGTCATCGTTACTTTTACTCTCCTTTACCCCACTTTTCATTTTTACGCTCAACTGAAAATGGGAAAAAATAGGTTGTTGGGGGGAGGAGACAAAGAAAAATGGGTTTTTTGTTGCTCGGTTTTTTGGCTTTTTTGAGAGAGTTTAGATTCAAAAAACCGATTTTTTCCGTTTCTTTTTCGGTTTCAACAGTTTACTAAATTTTCGCAAAATCGGGATATTCCGGTTGTTCTTTGCCATACTCCATAGTCTAGTTACGATTTTTTTCCTACGTTTTTAGTATAACTCATACCGTAATCCCCCAAATCGAATTTTTTACTCTTAAGCACAAATTTTAACGTTTTCAAACCGCTAAAAACATCCTAAAATGTCAAAAAGCAGTAAAAAATGACCATTTCCAAAAAAGTATACCTGATGGTTCAGTGGGTTTTGGCATAGCAAAATTTACGGTTCACAAGACCAAAGTTCGATTCCTCCGGGATTCAAAATCTTTTTATTTTTGCTACGACCTCTAAATTGATAGTTTAAAGCATACTTGGGGTGTAAAAACGAAAATTTTGAGTTTTGAAATCTAAAAATGTGCTTTTCGCGTTGAGTCCAAATATCTCAGGCAACCGAGATGATTGAGCTCAAAGTAAGGGAGCACCTCTTTTACGGCCCCAATTCTCGAAATTTTCAACTTTTCACGTCAATCGGGCCTGAAACTATCACTTTTGAGGTCTAGACAAAAAGAGTTGAATCCCGAAAAGAATCGAACTTTGGTCTTGTGGACCATAAGTTTTGCTGCCAAATCCCACTGAGCCATCTGGTACAAATTTTTGAAAGTAGTCATTTTTGGCTGTTTTTTTTTACATTTTTAGGTGTTTTTAGTGGTTTAAAAGCGTTTTATCTTTGAAAATGTGTTAAATCGTGATTTTGAATCGGAAACTCTTTTTTCTAAAACATTTTTTTGGAAGCAACAAATGAAGTCTATCGATAAATGGTCTATTGTTCTCATTTTCACAAAATTGTGAAATAGTAAATTTATTGTTTTATGACATTATATCCAAACACAAGATAAATTGTATTCAAAATATCTAGATACTTTAAAGGCGCATGGAATTTCTACTGGTCCGAATATATAAGAATAATGGTATTGTTTTATCAACCAGTAGTTTTTCAGCTTTCAGTTTATTCATAGCTATTTTTCACTCCTAATTAACTCTACCACCCATTTATTTTCTCTCTCTCTCTCTCTCTCTCTCTCTCTCTCTCTCTCTCTCTTCCTTTCCCTTCAAATATCCAATTTTCACGCCCCAATGTTTTTCGTTGAATAATTGAGCATTTTACTTCTACCCAACCAACCTTCTCTTTCTTCTTTTGTCTCTAATTTTCCGAATGTTTGTGTGTTTTAGGTGTTTGAACCCTCAGTTGCTCCAGAAACGAACAATGGCGAGGGTGGTTGGATGGTTTCTAGCGATCATTGGGACGGTTTTGGGAGCTAGTGAGTTTTTTTGGAGTATTGGATTGCTGTAGATTTTTACATCTGGATATGGATTAGTTTTCAGAATACTATTCCAAAATTATGAAGGTTTTGAAACAAGGAAAATTAGTTAACATTTTTGGGGTTTTCCATAATTACGGTTCTAAAAATATGATTTAGTTGGAATCGAATACTTTCTAGTAATTTTGACGGTGTTCTGATAAGTCAAGCTTCAAAAAATAATATTTCTCAAATTTCTAGATTTCCCCAAAAAGTTCACTATTCAAAACTAACTAATTTCAATTCTGAAAACCTTAAAATCTACCAAATTTTGTTGAATTCAACCAAAAAATGCAGTTTCACTTTATTGATATTTGCTTAACTGAAAAAGTAACTTCTATTTTGTTGTGAGTGTTCTTTACGACTTTTTTGAGATAAATCTTGCCATTAAAGGTGGGGGGACATGAAAAAATAATGTTCTCGAAATTCTGATTAAATATGCCCCTCGAGGAGTTGAACTTGTCGAGGCGAGTATTGAAAGTGCGCGGCCGCTACCGACTGAGCCACGCGGGCGAAACTGGAGCGGGCGACTGATTGAATACATAAAGGCGATAACGACCGCTGTACGCAGAGTGACATTAAGCGTTGTACACCGTTACGGTAGAATGCATACTCTGGCCCCAAAAATCCCCCGTAAAATCTCCTGCCCCCGCACCTTTAAAAGACAAATTTTAAAAATAAAATTCACAACTACCATGTTCAAAATTTGCAGTTTCACTAATAACATTTCATTTTTTCGAATTCCTAGTTTTTAATTGATTTGGATAAACTGTGAGCCCATATAACTAATTTCCTGTGGGAGATATCAAAAAGTGGTCAACTGATAAAATTTTTATCATATTATCAGAAACATTTTGTTAGTTGACCACTTTTTGATATCTTTTGAAGGAACTAAGCTAAATTGGCTCAAACTTGAAAATTAAGAGGGGACGTCATTTTATTGAAGTGGTTACGATAAAATGTGCACATTTTGAAAACCATTGATATCACTGTTTCGCTCATTTGATATATTCGGAAGATTTTAAAATTGGTTAATCATCTGTTTCCCGTTATTTGAGATATTGAGCTGAAAATTACGGTTTCACCAATGTCATTAAACATAACATATTTCAAAGATTCGATTGGCGTTCCACTGCTTTTGCTAGCATAATTCAAATGTACCCAGTTCACTCAAAAGTAATTCAAAAGTGACGTTTTCTCTCCTCTACTATCGTTCTAATTTGAAATTTACGGACAAATCTGGAGAGGAGGGGACCATAATGAATATCCAATGAAATGAGGGTGGATTTTGGTTTTTCGTTCTTTCTTTCTTCCAATTTTTTTTCTTTTTCCAGGAGAAGCATTGATGGATGACTACGGCGAGTTTCTGCCACACATCCGGTTGGCCAAGGATTTGATGGATCCGAGGAGGTTAGTGGGGATTTTTAGGGGAAACAGGGATTGGAATGGTTATGGGAGAATGGACTTAGCGAAAAAAAAGCAAAACTAAAAAATTAACTATGAACATGAAACAGGGAATAAAGTGGAAAACGCGACCACAGGAGACAGCCTAAAGCGCCAAATTTCAAAAAAAAAGTGTACCAGATGGCTCGGTGGGTTTTAACACAGAAACATTTACAGCCCACAAGATTAAAGTTCAATTCCTCCCGGGATTCAAAACTTTTTATTTTTGTTTAGACCTTAAACAATGCTAACCTTAGACATCCTTGACGTGTAGGAAAATTCAGAGAATTGAGATCGTAAAAGAAGCGCTCCCTCAGTTTCAGCTCATTTATCTCAGTTCCTGTAAAAAATATCAAAAAGTGGTCAACTGATAAAACATTTCTGATAGTATGTTAAACATTTTATCAGTTGACCACTTTTCAATATCTTTTACAGGAACCTGAAAAATTGACTCAAACTTAATAGTACAAGCTTGGATTTCCCGCGTTGAGACCAGTGTTGCACGGACAGTCCGTTGTCCGCTGTCCGTTGTCCGTTGCAAAAATTTCCCTGTCCGTGCAACTCTGGTTGAGACGATTGAGAATTAGTTATGAAATTCGAAACCGCTTTTCTTAGCCATCTGAAACAGTTAAACATATTTTTGAACCATTTATTCTCTAGTGAAAATTTTTGAACATTATTTTCAAAAAATGCATTTTTCGAATTGTTATTTTTATTATCTTTAAAAACGTATTAATATATTTTGATTGTCATAACTCAGTTTATGAATTCTTTGAAGCAGTGACTTTTTTCAACTTTTCGGAATTTTTTTTGCTAAGTGGTCACTTTGACTAAATTTATTTCGGCTCCTGTGAACGATATTAAAAAGCAATTAACTAATCAAAGGTTGCTGATAATATGGTGGACATTTTGTCCGTTGACCACATTTTGATATCTTTCACAGGAAATGAGATATATTGTCTCAGAGTTGTTTAACCCATTCAATGATTATAGTTATCTTTAAACGAGGGAAAGGCAATTACCGATAGCGTCAGTTCCTGTTAGAGATATAGAAAATCTCTAAACTTTATAAATGTGTATTATTTTTTGTTTGAAATTTTCAAGTGAAATATTAATGAGAGGAAATTTGTAACTGTTTTTCTTAGCTTTCGAAACAGTTCATATTTTTGAACCCTCCATTCTCTGGTGAAAGTTTTTGAAAATTATTAATAACATGCATTTTTAAATTGTACTTTAGATTGTACTTTCATCAAGTCAATAGTTTCTGATTGTCATAATTTAGTTTATAAACTTCTTGAAATCGCGATTTTTAGTGATCCTATTTTCAACTTGAAGCCAATTTATCTCAGCTCCTGTAAAAAATGTCGAAAAGTGGTCAAATGGTAAAATGTTACTGATAATAGGATAAACATTATGTCAGTTACTCATTTTTTGATATCTTTTACAGGAAATGAGATATGTAGGCTCAAAATGAGGGAACACTCGTTTTACCACCTCAACTTTCAAAACTTCCTATTTCTACACCTTAAGTGTGCCTAAAACTATCATTTTTGAGGTCTAGCCAAAAATAAAAAAATTCGAATCCCGGGAGGAATCGAACTTTGGTCTTGAGGACCGTAAGTTTTGCTGCCAAAACCCACTGAGCCATCTGGTACACATTTTGAAAATTGTCGTTTTCGGCTGTTTTAGGGTGTTTTTAGTGGTTTAAAACCGTTTTCCATGCTTGAAAACGTACATCAAAACCATATCAGATGACACGTTTTTGATATTTTTTACAAAAAATGAGATAACTAACTATAAGCAAAGTTTTAGTACGAAGATCATCCTAAGGTACTACCTAATTTGAAAATGATGAAAATTTAGCAAACTTCTGAAACAGTTAAATGTTTTGTTTTGTTTCCAAATGTTGCGATCAGAAAAAACTGTCAAAGCTTGAATCATATCTTTTTAATTGGTTCTCTTAATTGACCAATTAACCAGATAATTACAATAAATTGAAATTTCAGGTACGACAGTCGTGTTCGTCCGGTCATGAATCATTCCAAACCAACAACAGTCTCATTTTCCATGAGTTTGTACCAGATTTTGTCGATTGTGAGTGAAAAACTTGAAATTTTTGTCTGAAAAAAAAATTTAAAATTCCGGTTACAAGTTTCTCATATGTTTTGAAATTTTGAAGGAATCAGCCAATGGTATCTTGCTAGTAGAATCGAAATTCCAAAATTACAGCATTATTAATGACAAGCGAATAATTTTTCAGAACGAAAAGCAGCAAAACGTTGACTTGAATGTTTGGGCAATTCAAAAATGGAATGACGATTTTTTGGGATGGAATCCGTATTTATACGGAATGATTAACACAACCATATTGCCATTTGACGCGATTTGGTTACCGGATACGTATCTTTATAACAGGCAATAGTCAAGCTTAATTATCTCGGTTCCTATGAGAGATATCAAAAATCTATTCACTGATAAAATGTAGCTGAAATTATGACAAAAATTTTATCAGTTAAATACTTTTTTATATCTCTCAGAGGAACCGAGATATTTGAGATTCACAAATGAACATGTAGTACTCTTCAATGAAACCTTTACAAGAAAATCAAAAACCTGAAACAGTATTTTTTTTTAACTAGAAATTGTTTAGCGTTGTCATGAATCGAGAAGAAACTGAACGATATATCAATGTGGTGGTGACAACAAACTACTGGAAAGGCGAAAAAGGCGCGGAAGTCAAGTTTATGTATCCGGCGTTGTACAGAACGAGTTGTTTGTTGGATATCAGGTTGGTGTTTATTTTTGGCAATGGGGCGAGTTGGCTTTTTTTTAAATTATGATAAATTGGAGCTAATAATGGAAAACTACTGTTAGAGAAGTTTTATAAAAGTCAATTTTAGGAGAATCGAAACAGCAAAAAAGGCACTGTTTCAATTTTGTTATATTCTTTTTAAGAAATTTCTCTCCTAATTCATATGTCATATTCGATTGATTAATCAGCCAACGAGAAGTATAAGCCAGATTCATGGAGTCGGATGGTTTGTTTTGCTTGTAACTTTCTTCGTAGACAAAATACAATTTTTTGCATGATATCATTTTGAAGCTCTTAAATTCTTCTATCATGCCCGTTTTAGTTGGTCAAGAAATATTGAGTCTAGAAGAAGTTATAAATTGATCCGTTCTTGGTCCGCTTTTCACCCGTTTTTGGTCCGTTTTTGAGTCGTTTTTGGTATATTTTTGGTCCATTTTAGGCATGTTCTTCGTATGTTTTTGGAATGTTTCTGACCTGTTATTGACCAGTTTTTTTTCTCCATTTTTGGTCCGTTTTTGGTCCGTTCTTTGGAATGCTTACGTTTTTGGTCCGTTTTTAAACCGTTCTTAGCCAAATTTTTGCCCTTTTTTGGTCCGTGATTGGTCCGTTCTTGGTTCATTTTTGACCCGTTCTCGACCCATTTTTTGTCCGTTTTTTCTCGTTTTTTGTCTGTTTTTAGCTTTTTCGTGGTGCTGTGGAATTGGCCTACAAATTGAAAACTACATTTCCAAAGAAAACGAAACCGGAAAAAATTGATCCGTTTTTGGTCCGTTTTTGGTCCGGTTTTTGGTTCGTTAGCTGTAAAAGCATAAAAAACGTCTCAAGAACCTCACTTTAGAATTTCTAAAACACCAAAAGGTTCCAAGATTTGTTACATAGCTCTGATCAACTTGCCATATTGAAATGGGTTATGCCACAGTGGCCTAGAAAATGAAAATTTCTAGGCCACGGGTGCTACGGACTACGCACAAAGCTATGTAAAAAATTGATCTGAAAAAAAAACCTTTTAAAAATCTGGAATCTGATATCAAGATCCAATCACAGAAACCATATTAAACATATCCTTAGCAACCAACATGAAACCGGAAAAAAAATTTCTAAAAAATCCGTTATTGGCTCAGGTTTTGGTCCGGTCTTGGGCCCGGTTGTGCCCTCATTGTAACCAGTGGCTTAGAAATTATAAATTCTGAATCACAGGTGCTTCAGACTGTTTTGTATACATAAAATTATGTAAAAACTGCACCCGGGAACAAAGTACCATTCAGAAAAACCTCATTGGTCATTTCCATAGAAAACGAAACCGAAAAAAAAAAACTTCCAGATTCTTCCCATACGACCAGCAAGCGTGTAAGCTAACCATATCCTCATGGACATCATCAAAATCCGATATCAACTACGAACCTGAATACGAATCAGTCAATATGGACAATTTCCTGCCGAATGAGGAATGGGTCGTTGTCAGTTTCAATATCAAAAGAGTCGAGGAGAAATTCGTGTGCTGTCCTGAGCCATGGGTCTTATTGGAGGCTGTGTTGGTTGTTAGACGAAAGCCATTGTATTATATTGTAAATTTGGTCATACCCACTTCAGTTATCACACTGGTGGCGGTCACTGGATTCTTCACAGCGGCATCGACTAGTTCAGAGAGGTACGGAACTTTTTTTAAAGAGCTTAAAGAGAGCAAAAGTTTTGACATGAAAAACGCTTTTAAATCACTATAAAACCCTTAAACGTCAAAAAACCAAAAAAATGACAATTTTCCAAAAAGTGTACCAGATGGCTCAGTGGGTTTTGGCAACGACCCACAAGACCAAAGTTCGATTCCACCGGGATTCAAAATTTTTTTATTTTTGTGTAGACCTCAAAAATAATAGTTTCAGGCACAATTGAGGCGTGGAAATAAAATTGTAGAGAATTGAGGGCGTAAAAAAAGTGCTCCCTCACTTTGAGCCCATATATCTCATTTTCTGTGAAAGGTATCAAAAACTGATCAATTGATAAAATGTAGCTAATAAAAAACAAATATTTAATTAGTTGACTGATTTTTGATATCTTTTATAGGAAGCGAGATAAATTGGCTCAAGGTGAAGGAGCACTTTGTTTAAAATTTTTATTACCCGACACAATTCAGCGACGAACTGTTTTTATTGTCGAATTAAAAAAAAGTGACACCTGAGAATTCGAAGAATTTTGCTTTTTTTGATCTACGAAAAAATGCGGAATGCGGCAAAAACGTAATGTTTCAGAATTTCGCCTCGTTCGAGCTACTTTCGCGTTTAAGTTTAGTTTTTTGCTGAAAAATAGATTCTAGAGATGCTAGCAATCATTTTTATACCAAGAAATCAAAATTTTGTTCACAAAATCCCACTAAATTCACATAAATAAATGTGTTATCTATAGTATCCATTTTCGCTCCGCCCCCTCGTAAATCGACACAAGCGCCGTCTCCGAGATTTTCAGGTGTCACTTTTTTTAATCCGACAATAGTTGTCATAATTCAATTTATGAACTATTGAAAACAGTGATTTATGCGTAAATTGAAAAAAAATTTGCCCCTCCTTTCAACTTTCAGACAATTCATCTTAGTTCCTGTGAGAGGTATCAAAAACTAATCAATTGATAAATCGTAGCTGATAAAAAAATATGTTATTAGTTGACAAATTCTTAATGTCTCTTAAGGAGGATGAGATAAATAAGGTCGAAGTGAAAAATGATTCAACCTCAAAAAAGTCCGTTTTGTTAATGATTTTTCGTTATATTTTTCAGTTTCAAAAAGTAATTTTAATGGTTTATTGGATTGTAGTTCTGATATGTAGGTAAGAGTTCAATGATGAGGAACCGAAAATTCTCAATTTTATCAGTTTTTTAAGAAATTCGGTTGACTTTTCGTTTTTTTTTCTGTTTCATATTATTGTCAATTGAAGTTTGAAATAGTTAATTTTAATAATCTCAATAAATGCGTTCGATAATTATAGGACCCCCCTCGATTTTGAGGGTTCTGAAAAAACTGAAAATGATATCAAAATTCTGTGAACGCCATTCGATTCAGAATACAAAATAACCTCTAGTTTTAAATTTTCATGTACCTCTTTTTACCTCTTTTTACACTCCGGTACCAACAAAAAGGCTCTCCCGCAGGCGTTCAATAATTATAGGACCCCCCCCCCCCAGAAAAACGAAAAATCACAAGTTTTTTCGGGACCAAAATTTGACTTTTTTCAGTTGGAAATCATTAAAATAGTCTCAAAACAGCCTATTTCGATAGTTCACACAAAAATTGATTCCTCTTTTCAAGTTTTAGAAAAAATTATTTTTAGACATTTTTGCCATTTTTTGGATTTTTGAAATAAATCTTGAATAACTTGGCTCACGTGTGAGATTTTGAGCTGAAATTGATGGACAACACTTTTACAGGGATCTGAAGTATTTACTTATTGTTGTTATACTATTCTGAGCAGGTTTTCGTGATTTAAGCTGAACTTGATGGACAACTTAAATTTCAAAAATTGACCTGCGGGAGAGCCTTTTTGTTGGTACGGAAGTGTAAAAAGAGGTAGGGACATGAAAATTTATAACTGGAGGTTATTTTGTATTGTGAAACGAATGGCGTTCACAGAATTTTGATATCATTTTCAGTTTTTTCAGAACCCTCAAAATCGAGGGGGTCCTATAATTATTGAACGCACTGTATTCATTCAGTTAACGGAAATCTCTCTGTTAGAACATCTTATTTCGAGCTCGATTATCTCGGTTTCTATAAAAGATATTCAAAAACTTGTGGTAACATGACAAACACTTTACTAGTTGACAATTTTTGTTATCTATTGAAGTGATATTTGAGCTTGAGCTCGGGCGGCGCCAAAACGACGTACCTCATCCGCCCATGGTTTATAAGATCATGTTTTGGAGATCGTTCCATTTTGTGGGTTTAATGAAACATTTCAGAAAACTTGGCCAAATTTTTGTATTACTGTTTCATATTATAGTTAATTGTAGATTTTAATAATTGCTTGTAATGTTCCATTGAGCGAAAAAATCTCTAAATTCTAAAAAAATTTCATTTCTACACCTCAAGTGTTTCAAAAACTAGCATTTTTGAGATTTAAACAAAAATAAGTAATTTTCGAACCCTGGGAGGAGTTGAACTTCGGTCTTGTGGACCTTAAATTTTTGCTGCCAAAACCCACTGAGCCATCTGGTACACTTTTTTGAAAATTCTCATTTTTTGACATTTTTGAATGTTTTATGTGGTTTATAAGCGTTTTACTAGCCTGAAAATGTTGACAATCAAAAGATAGGGCCGCGCAGCTTTAGTTAAACTCCTTGCAGCCCCCTTTTAACCGAAACACCCCTAATTTGTTCCAGACGCGAAAAACTTTCCCTTGGAATCGACTCCCTTCTCGCCATGTCCATTCTAATGATGATGGTTTCCGAACAAATGCCAACATCATCAGATTTCGTTCCTCTTTTCGGAATATTCTACCTATCAATCATCTTTATCATCTTCATAGGAACCCTCTTCACCGCCTTCATCCTAAACGTACATCTCCAGAAAATGTACGCAAAACCAGTGTCGCCAATCGTGTCATTCATATTTTTTGGAAAAGTAAGTTTTAGATACCGTATGTCAAAGTCGAACTTAATTATCTCAATTCCTGTGAGAGATAGGTAAAATTTGACAACTGATAAAATGTAGCTGATAATATCATCATTATTTTATCAGTTGACAAGTTTTTGATATCTTTGCCAGGAATCGAGATAAACAAGCTCAAAGTTAGGATGGGTTCATATTAGGGTAAACGACCTTTAAGAATCCAATGTTTTTAGATTGCCCATTGGCTCCGAATGCGTCCACCTACGATGCTTTTGGAGTTGTGGAATGAGACTGGTGTCACGTTTGGAAAGAAGGATCAGAAAAAGCCGAAACGGCTGGAGATCAAGAATCAAAAGATGCCAAAAGTGACGTCATCGTCTTCTGGCTTGAATTTGCTGAAATCGGCTAGTGGAAGTGGAAGAGCACCATTGGCAGCGCCGATTAGTGCGAGGAGTTATATGTAGGTCATTTTCTCTGTTCCTATAAGAGATATCAAAAATCTGTCAACTGCAAAACGATGAGGAACGCTAAACCAGGAAAAGTTTCACAGATACCAGTTATATGAAACATACATATTTATGAATTTAGGACACACAAAGTTAAGTTTTGGGTGAAAAATCACTATTTTGAACATTTTCCGACATGTAAAACGCTTTCAAACCACTAAAAACACTCTACAACAGTCAAAAACAACTCTGTAACAGTAAAAGAAAAATCAAAAAAGTGTACCAGATGGCTCAGTGGGTTTTGGCAGCAAAATTTACGGTCCACAAGACCAAAGTTCGATTCCTCCCGGGATTCAAATCTTTTTATTTTTGTCTAAACCCCAGAAATGATAGTTTCAGGTACACTGTAGAGGTAGAAAAAAGAATTTTGAGAATTGAGGTCATGTACATTTGCTCCTTCACTTTGAGCTTATTTATCTCAGTTCCTGTAAGAGATATCAAAGATTTATAGACTACAGAAATTTTGCTGATAATTTGATAAACATTTTATCAGTTGATAAGTTTTTTATATCTTTCAAGGGAACGGAGATAATTCTTAATCAGAGAGAGGGACACGGTTAGCGAATAGAAAATACGGTTTCACTAATACCAGTTCTATGAAACATATTAGATTTTTCAATTTTTCAATATTTCTTGTTTCAGTAGCATGGACGACATGAAACGAGAAGCAGCACGACGGAATTGGAGGCGATTGGTGAAGAAGATCAATTCCAATAAGCAGAATGGTGTGAAAAGTGAGTATGATTGAAATTAGTTCAAGAATATGCTAAAAATGAGCTAAAAAATGGCTGAAAATAGGCGTAATACGCTCTGAAAGCATCCAGAACCACTAAAAACATCCTTAAACGTCAAAAAATAGCCAAAAATTACGATTTTCGAAAAAGTGTACCAGATGGCTCAGTGGGTTTTGGCACAGCAAAATTTACGGTCCACAAGACCAAAGTTCGATTCCTTCCGGGATTCAAATTATTTTGATTTTTTGTGTAGACTTCAAAAATGATAGTTTTAGGCACGTTTGAGGCGTAGAAATATAATATTTTGAGAGTTGAGGTCGTAGAAGATGTGCTACTTTATTTGAGGTAATTTATCTGTGAGGTAATTTATCTTAATTTATATAAAAGATATCAAAAAGTCGTCAACTGATAAAATGTAGCTGATAAAATGACAACATTTAATCACTTGACAACTTTTTGATATCTTTTACGGAGAAATCGTTAGAGCGTTTTGAAAAATCTAGCTAAAAAATATAACTCTCACTGTTCCAACAACCTGATATTGATATTTTTTTCTCCATCCTCTACTAAGTATAACCTTTTCCTCCTTTTTATAATACTTAAAAAATATATTTATAATTTATCGATTTTTTTTAAATTCCAGACAACACTGGTGGCGAGCGAGGTCAACTTCGACAGGCGGGTCGTAAGAAGGTGCCATCAGCGATAGCGCTACCCCATGGTGAACCGGGTCCACTGATGTTGAGTGCATCTGCAATTTCAGCGTTTTCTGTGACTGGCAACGACGCGACGATTTTGGAGAGCAAATTGAAGAGGAGGTTCGTTTAGGGAAACATTTAAAGGCTGAAGCTCGTATTTTTGAGCGATTCGAAACATAAATTTTTTCACTGTTTCCAAAGCTCTAGAATTTGAATTAGTCAATTGTCAATCATTAATACAATCATACTTAATGTATTGGTAGTTATAGCTTCTGAAAATTAACGTAAACACTCTAATAGATAAAAATTACAATTTTGAAGAACTTTCAAACATAGAAAACGCTTTTAAACCACTTAAAACGCCCTACGACGTAGAAAAAACGAAAATTTTCAAAAACGTGTACAAGATGGCTCAGTGGGTTTTGGCAGTAAAATATACGGTCCACAAGACCAAAGTTCGATTCCTTCCGGGATTCAAATTCTTTTTATTTTTGTTTAGATCTAAAAAATATTAGTTTTAGTCACACTCGAGGTGTAGAAATAGGGAACTTCGAGAATTGAGGCCCTGAAAGAAGTGTTTTCTTACTTTGAGTCCATATATCTCGGTTTTTGTGCAAAATATCAAGAAGTGATCAACTGATAAAATTTTACTCATATTATGATAAACGCTTTCATAATTAAAAGTTTTTGATATCTCTTAAAGGAACCGAGAAAGCGGAGCTCAAAATAAGGGAGCACATATTCAGACCTCAATTCTCAAAATGTTCAATTTCTACACCTCAATTTTGCCTAAAAGTTTCACTTTATTCTAAAACTATCAAATTTGGGGTTTAGACCAAAATAAACAAAATTCTGATCCCCAAAAGGAATCGAACTTTGGTCTTGTGGACTCCAAATTTTTCTGCCAAAACCCATTGAGCCATCTAGTACACTTTTTTAGAAAATTGTCATTTTTGGCTATTTTTGGCTGTTTTAGGGTGTTTTCAGTGGTTTAAAAGCGTTTTCCATGTCTGAGACTTTCAGAAAGCTATAACGAAAAATTCGTGACTTGGTTCCAAGACCAAATATTAAAAATTGGTACCATAAATTCAAATTCTAGAGATATGGAAACAGCAAAAAATATATAAGAGCATATATAAAAAGTACGGCATTCAAGCCCCCAAAAAATCAATATATTTCCAGATACGCGTTGGAATGGGAATACCTGGCATCCGTCCTGGATCGTGTGCTCCTCATCGTCTTCTCCCTCGTCGTCTTCACCGTCACATCAGTCATGATCCTGGTAGGAGAAGCTATGCATTTGTCATACGAGCTTGCTGCTAAGGAGTTCTAATCCCCCAATCTTAAATTGATAATCATTTTTTGGTCCTTGTCCTTTGTCCCGCTTCTACATACACCACCTTTGTTCTTCCCCTCTACCGTATAACCCTTTGATCTTAAAAATTCCTTGTACTTGTCTGTCCCATTTGTGCCGCTTCTTTTTGCTGCTTTTAAAATGCTTGTTTCATTTTTTTGTTTTTTGTCATATAACCTAAATAAAGAGTTTGTGGTTTGTACCGTAATGTGATATAATTATGGTTTGTACTAACGTTTTTTTGTCAACTGTGAAGCTCAACATTTGGAATCCCAACTGGTACAGTAGTCCGAACCTATAGTACCTAGAAATATGGAAATTTGGAAACAGGATTTTTTCGAAACAAAAATTAATTTCCAGCATTTTTCTGTTCGTTTTAGTACAGTAACCCATTTTTAAAAAACCCCCAAATGAAAAAAAAAATTTCAGGACCTCAAAATCGTGCACTACATTGTCTATGGTACGGTAGCCGAGATGAACGATGGATCTTAATTTTTTTGATTTTTGAATTTTTTTTTGAATTTTTGAAATTAAAATTTTGTTATGGGTGTAATGTAATGCAATAGATGAATAGTGAGTTTTTAATAGAATTTTTCTGATTTACCTGCAAATTTTCATTTTCGCAGCGCCGCTACTGGCTGAGCTACGCGGTCGGCCGACCGCCGATGGTAATTTTTCCCCAATTCTGATGAAAATTAATTTTACAATCTAAAACAAAACAAACATCATAAATCCAGAAGAAAATTTTAAAAAATAGAAAATCAAAAAAAAAAATCTTTTTGGAATTTTTTCAAAAGCCAATTTATCTCACTTCCTATGATAGATATCAAAACATCGTCAACTGATAAAATATTACTGCTATTATGTTCAACATTTTATTAGTTTACCTCTTTTTGATATCTCTGACAAGGACCGAGATATAGGGGATCAAAGTAAGGAGTCCCCTATTAGAGGGTGTTTCAGACCTCAATTTTCAAAATGTTCTATTTCTACACCTCAAATATGCTTAAATCTATCATATTTGAAGTCAATACAAAAATAAAAAAGTTTTGGAGCCGGGAGGAATCGAACTTTGGTCTTGTGGACCCTAATTTTTGATGCCAAATCCCACTAGGCCATCTGGTACACTTTTTTGAAAATTTTCATTTTTGGCTGTTTCAGAGTGTTTTAGGGTGTTTTTAAGCGTTTTTCATGTCGGAAAATGTTTAAAATTTTGTCTTTAGATCGAAAATTTTATTAAAACAGTTCATTTATTAGACAATTAGCTTCACATTTCATTAATTCTGCTCTTATAACTCTCGATTGCACTAGTCGGACGATCCTTCTTGATATACCTTCGGTAGACGAAACAAGCATTGCATAGAGTGCTTTCTTTCGATTTGACGTTTCTCCATCGACATGAATTGATGATCGAGCAGTTGGAACATTTTTGTGATTCTTCTAGAAGCTTTCGTCTATAACTTCTCTTCGGTGTAGCAGAATTCGGAGCTACTGGAGTAGTTGGATCCTGAACTAGCTTAGATGGAGTTGGTGAAGCTTCCATAGCTAACTGTGTAGCTGGTGAAGGTCTGGACATTCTTGGAGTAGTTGGAGCCTGAGCTACTGTACCTGGAGTTGGTGAAGCTAGCAAGCTCAACGGATCCATAGCTCGTCTCTTGGGAGTTGAAGTAGCTGGATCCTGAACTAACTGCGTAGCTGAAGTTGGTAGAGCTTCTGTATATGACTGTGTAGCTGGAGTTGGTGAAGCTAGCAAGCTCAACGGATCCATAGCTCGTCTCTTGGGAGTTGAAGTAGCAGAAGCAAACTGTGTAGCTGGGAATGAGCTCAACGATTCCATAGCTAACCGTGTAGCTGGAGTCTTGCATGGAGTAGATGGTCCTTGCGCTAGCTTCGTAGCTGGTGAACTTGGAAAATCATTTGTCCTTTTCTTATAATGCTGAATCGCTTTCATTGGACGGCTCTTCTTGTACTTCCTCTCATAGACAAAGCAAGCATTGCACAGTATCCCTTCGCTAGATGTGACATTTCTCCATTGACAGGATTTAGTGATCGAGCAGTTGGAGCACTGTTTGGATTCCGATTTGCTAGGAGTGGGCTCATTCTGATCAAGCTGGCACATCGACCTTGTGTTGGCTGGGAAATTTGTGAATTGTGGAGCCTCATTTTCTTTGACGTCTTCTTCTTTCTCTTCCGAAGCCTCTTGATTTATAGGTACAGTATCATGCGGTGTCCAGATGGGTGTCGGATACTGTTGCTCCATATTCTGTGTAGCTGCCAAATCCGGAAAGTTCCAAAACAACGGAGACGACATCGCTAAACTCATCAAATCGATTTTGATTTGGTTCATCAGGTCCATTTGCAAGTTGGCAATTGGATTGGGTAGCTGAAAATTTGAAAAATTGAAATTCCGATCTAAAAACGCCATTTTAAACGTTTTCCGACGTCTAAAACGCTTTTAAACCATTGAAAACACCGTAAAATGTCAAAAAATTGTTTAGAATTACAATTTTCAAAAAGGTGTACCAGATGGCTCAGTGGGTTTTGGCCTGCAAAATTTACGGTCAACAAGACCAAAGTTCGATTCCTCCAGGGTTTCAATAATTTTTTATTTTTGTCTAGACTTCAAAAATGATAGTTTCAGGCATATTTGAGGTGTAGAAATGGAAAATTCTGGGAATCACCTCTAATAGAAGTGCTCTTTCACTTTGACAAAATTTATCTCGTTTCCTGTAAAAGATATCAAAAAGAGGTGAACAGATAAAATGTTTATCATAATATCAGCTACATTTTAATAGTTGACTACTTTTTGATACCTTTTACAGGAACCGAGATAACTTGGCTTAAAGTTGACAACAAGCAAAAAACTAGGTAACCTTACCGTTACTGCATTAGTTCCTACGAACATCATAGCAGGCATCATTTGAAGAATTGGATATTGAGCTTGTGGACCTGAAACAAGAGTTAGTTCATAAAACTATCGAAAACAAGACCGCGGCCGGCCGCGGTCTCCCAGCAACGAACCATCAATTGAGCTTTTAATTTCCGGTTTTGCCTCATTTTGTCTTATCTCCTTATCAGATCTTTCTGTGTACTCCGTATCATTCATTTTGGCTTCATGGGATTTGAGGATCATGATAAACTGAAAACAACGTTATTTTTAGAATAGCAAAGAAATGACAAATGGGAAAAAAGATGCCGTAACCACTCTAATAGAATCGGGAAATCACCAAAACAAAGCCAATCAACTTTAATCTAATTTATCTTGCTTCCTGTAAGAGATATCAAAAAGTGGTCGACTGATAAAATATTGCTGACACTGTGAGAAGTATTCTGTTTGTTGAGCACTTTTTGATATCTTTCACAAGAACCGAGATAAATTTGCTCAAAGTCTGCAACCGCGTAGTTGAGCTGGCTATGAGTTGCGTTCTTTGAAAATCGATGAGAACAACAAAAAATGAATAACCAGACCAAGAAAGTATAAAAAGAAAGAATGAGGGAAGGAAGTGAATGACTAGGCAGGTACATGACCATTATTGACTGGGATGTTGTCCTCCTTCACCTCATCAAAGACCATAAAATATGAAAGTTGGTCCCTGGGTCTCTGTGGTATACAACAGTACTGTATACCATCTAGATTATTGACTGGTTGTATACAGTATGAGGTTTCGAAAACTGAAAGTTTATGGTCTGACATTCGCATGGTGTTTTCTAGGCCATCTTCCATGATGGCCTAGAAAAATCACCTTGCAAAAGTTAGGCCACCACGTCTTAATGTCCTAGAAATGGTCTGATATTCTATTGGTGTGTTCTTTATGCGATTTTACTATGGTGCCTAACTTTCGCAAGTTGAGTTTTCTATGCCGCCATGGTAAGTGACTTAGAAAACACACCAGGTGAATATAAGACAATTTCTGGGCCACCTTTTTTTTGAGATCTAGAATCCGAATTTCGAAATTCGCGTTTTTAGACAACTAACATAAATAATATTTATTTTCTCAAACAAAAATTCCAACAAAATCAATAAATTAGCTCAAAGATCAATAATTCGTTCATTACTCCATCTCCTCCGGCTCATCACAAAACACGACGACACACCCGGTGAACCATTTTCCCAGCCATTCCCCGCAGTCATTTGGCTCCGAGGAGAACACAATTGCTCTTTTGCACTTAGCCTCCCGGACATGTTTCCCGCAGGACACCGATGAGAATTTGGAATGTGGCCAGAGATTCTGAAAAAATCAATATTTTGACATCCGCGCTCCACCGAACAAAAGCTTAAAAATCGACAAAAACTCACCTTGACTCTTCTCTCCAACTCCTTCACAAACGCATCTCTCTCCGTCGTCTCAAATTCGGCTCTCAGAATTTTACATTCTGGTGACGTCATCAGATTCTTAATTTCAGCGTATGGGAAATTGTCATCCGTGTGGAAATCCGTTGACAACGGATTATGATCATCGGCTTGTTCGGGTGGGAGCTGAAAATCGATATTCTTAGCTTTTTTCACCTCATGGACTAGAAATCCGGGAAAAACTCGGCCACCATATAACTATCGATTTTTTAGACCAGCTTCGTACTAACTTGTGGCCTAGAAAAAAGGGAAAAAACAAACTCTTCCAACCTCTCCATCTTTAATAACGAATCGAGTCTCCATGAAGCTCAAATAACGAGATTCCAATTCTCGTTTCTCATAAATTTGGACCATTTCGGGACTTGGTGTGAACAATTCCGGTTTTTTGTATTGTTTTCCGTAGAAATATTTGTTCCGTTTCATTAGTGGATTATCATCGAAAAGGAGGTAGTTGGCGACAGCTTGCGCGGCTTCTGCGCCCCGTTTCACTGCAAAACTTCTCAATAGAGCGCATTTGCTTTCAACAAAAAACACGGAAGAAATATTCACAATTTAATCTTGAATTCAGCTTTTCCAAGTTTAGAGCTTCAAAATGAGCCCAAACACAACTTAGGCTCCGCCCACTTTGATATTTCAGACGCGTCGCGGTCGTGCGTCGCGTGTCTATCTGAAATTTCAAAGTGGGCGGAGCCTAGTCGTGTTTGGGCTCATTTTGAAGCTCTAATTCTGCTGAGTTCGATGAAAATACCATTCTAGCAAAAATTTCAGGTTTCTAGAAGTTTCTGGAAATTTGTGTTCCAATGCAAATGCGCCCCATTTGCGATTTAGGCTCCGTGGACTTTTAAAAAAAACTCACACTTAAAATGGCAAAAATGAAGGTACTCAAAGTGTGCGGCAATCAAATTTCCCACATAAAATCCATTGATTCTCCCCAATTTATACAAACAATTGTGCTCGCAACGGAGCACATTTGCTCTCATACTAGCCAACAAAATATCGATTTCTGGATTTCCGTTGACCACACTCCAATCGATTTTGTCCTGACACAAAATTCGACATTTCTCGTCTTGGATTATCGATTTTTCTAGAGCTGACTCAAATTCGTGCACACACCGTCCCCAGTCTTGTTCGTCGTACGCAGCTACGCCGTTCATGAATTTTGCCTGAAAAATAGAGAGTTGCGAAATGTCATATTTGCGAAATGTCATAGTTTCGAAATGAATTGGTTGCGAAAATGTCAGTTCTGAGACGTCCGGCTGCCAAATTTCAGGTCTAAAAACAGCCGGTTCTAAGAAGCACTAGTTGCGAAATGTAAGGTTTTGAAACGTCCGGTTCTAGACGGTCTAGATCTAAAATACAAACAACGAGTTGCGAAAAGCGAAATGGTCAGTTCTAGAAAGCCCGGATGCGAAATGAACAGCCGTGAAATGACCGGTTCTAGAACGTCCCAGTTTTGGAATGGCCAGTTTCTAAAACGTCCTAGTTGCAATGTTTCATAGTTCCGAAAAGTCGGAATTGCGAAATTTCAGGTTCTCAAACGTCTCAGGTTTGAAACGTGGGTTCTAGAACGTCCTGGTTGCGAAATGGTCAGTTCGAAAACGTCATAGTTGCGAAATGTCATAGTTGCGAAATGACATGGTTGCGAAATGTCATAGTTGCGAAATGACATAGTTGCGAATTAACACAGTTGTGAAATGACCAGTTGGGAAATGGCTAGTTCTAGGATGTCCCATTTTTAGACGACAAAGTTGCGAAACGTCGCGGTTCTAAAACGTCACCTACCTCTTGATCCTTTCTCTCCATATCAATTAACATCTCATCTGAATATCCATCTCGTTCCATATACCAATTCAAACTCTGCATTATATCCTTATCATCTGGATTCGCCACCAAAAACGTGTACGCCGATTGTACGGCCATTGCAAGTTCGCCCTGATGATAATAACAAATATGCATGTATTGATAGGGTTTACGCTCCTCCATATCATGATATGTCGACATTTTTCGAATCGTTTGGTGGTCTGAAACAGTTATAGAACGTCCGGTTGCGAAATGTCATAGTTGCGAAATTTTATAGTTGCTAAATGCCATAGTTGCAAAGTGTCATAGTTGCGAAATGTCATAGTTGCGAAACGTCATAGTTGCGAAATGTTATAGTTGCTTAATGCCATAGTTGCAAAGTGTCATAGTTGCGAAATGGCATAGATGCGAAATGTCATAGTTGTAAAAAGACATAGTTGGGAAATATCATAGTTGTGAAAAGACATAGTTGCGAAATGTCATAGTTGCGAAATGTTATAGTTGCTAAATGCTATAGTTGCAAAGTGTCATAGTTGCGAAATAGCATAGATGCGAAATGTCATAGTTGCAAAATGTCATAGTTGCGAAGTGTCAGTTTACCTCCAAACATATCCTTGCGGCATCTCAAAAGACACAACGCAATCTCACTGGTTTCGTGGAATTTCAGAATTTTCAGAGATTCTGATGACGTGGCAGTTTTCACTTGTCGATTACATTTCTTCCGGCAACTCACTGTGTCGTCTTGGTATTGTCTGCAAATGCGCTCCATGGCAAATAAAAATCACATTTTGAATTAAAAAAAAGCAATTTCGCCCCATTGGCAACATTTTGAAAAGTTATCATAAAATTCCAGAAACTTCTAAAAATCTGATATTTTTGCTAGAATGGTATTTTCATCGAACTCAGCAAAATTAGAGCTTCAAAATGATAAAATTTTGAATTTTCGAAAAATCTGAAAATGGAAAAAATCAATTTTCTGCTGAAATTCGGTCGAAAATTGATTTTTTTTAAATTTGAATATTTTTTAAAAAATTCCGAAAATTCATTTTTTTCAAAATTCCAAAAATTCAATTTTTCAATAATTCACAATTTTCCAATTTTTCCAGGCGCCCGCTCTGAAGGACAACTCTCGTCTCGGATGTCAAATCGTTTTAACCAAGGAACTGGACGGGATTACGGTCACTTTGCCAACGATGACACGCAATTTCTATGTTGATGGACATGTCCCAAAACCTCATTAATTCCCTTTTACTTGTTATTTTTCTTGAATTTGAATTTTTATTTTTTGTGATGTTTTTAAA